GTATTTTGTCCAGATTTGTAAGGATTATTTGATAAGTTGTTTTTAAATGTCATTAATTCTTTTTCCCTCTTACTGTTCCAGGTAAAGAGCGTAACCTGCAGTATTGAAGCATGAGTGCCGATGCCAGTCAGGGGGTGATCACCACCCCTCCACCTCCTAGCATGCCTCACAAAGAGAGGTATTTTGACCGCATCAATGAAAATGACCCCGAGTACATCCGTGAAAGAAACATGTCTCCTGATCTGAGACAAGACTTCAACATGATGGAGCAGAGGAAGAGGGTCACTCAGATACTGCAGAGTCCAGTAAGTTGGATTAAAGAACTAAAAGATGTTTTCCCCCTTCTCAGAGACTAACTCAAAAATAAACAACAATATAGCACAAAACAAAACTTCAAATTGCATCACAGCTAGAGGGAATATCTCAGGCCATGAAACTTTTCATAAGAACAATCTATGAACAGTTAGGTTATACAACATTTTGTTTGCATAGTTTTAGTGTATGAACAAACAGCCCATTATTGGGTTTCTTCTGATGCTTTCGTGGTGTAATGCTTCATTAAAGAAGTACAAAAGTAGCTCGTTGGCTACAAGGCACTTGATTAAAACTTAGGGAAGAGGGTGACGCGGTCACTAGCCAAATATGAACAAAGACATTTACATGCAGATCTGCATTCCACTTTTATTCTGTATATTTCACTTATTAGTTACATCATGGATACTCTGACCTTTAAAAAAGTAACTTGTGCTTTTTGTGTTTCAAAGCTGAATTGCTCTTTGTGTACTTTGGAAGGAGTAATATGTCTACTTTATCACACCAGCATTTGTGTGCGTCTCATGTAAATTCAGTGCTTGTGCAACTGGACATATAGCTCTGTTAATTCCATCTGAAATCTTGGGGAGAACAAATGTCTCCATAACCCCTTGATGAAGTCAGTCTTGAGTTGTGCAATATTTGGGTATTAAATTGTTGAGTATTCTTGAAAATCCATGGCATATCTGAAAATAGCAGAGGTGCCAAAAAAGTCTGATGCAATTTTTCTCTTGTGAAGCAGTTTGGTATTCAGGGTTTTTTTCTTTTCTGATTTTTTTTTTTTTTAAATAATTGGGAGGGTATACATTTTTCCATGCATAATGAGATTGCAAACAGCTGTTAGTAATCACATATTAGAGAGACTCTTGACTAATAGGATTGTTCATTTCAGTATTATCTTTGAGTGCCTTTCAGAGTCTGTATGTAGATTCAAATCTACATATGCAAAACCCATGACTCAGGGATTTATTATGTTCAGATAACTTTGTGCAACTTTAGTTTTTCAACCAAGCTGTTCAGTAGTCAGGAAATACTTTAAGGGAATAATGCATAATCATAAGAAGTTGTTAGAAAAACAATTCAGTTCTCAAACATTATGATTTGACTTAGTACTATTAAATTATTCACAAACCAGGGGAAGTGGATTTCCCAAATTCTTAATCAGAACAAACTCAAAAAAATGTCAGTTGGTTGAGAGGGATAAAATGAGATGCAGCAAATTACACTGGGCCCATATGTGTCTTACATTGTGTTCTTTTATTTACTTTAAATGCAGAAAAAGTGCTGAATCTCATAAGCATAACTAACTGTAGCCTTATTGAGTTAATTTTTTCCCCTCAATTAGCCAAATATAATCAGTTTCTGTTTGTTGTGAGCACGCTACTTTTGATATGCAAGGTCAGCCTGAGGGTTTACAGGGGCTTGGAGGGATGGTACTCCCAAGTTTAACTGTCATGTTTAATTGGAGGTACCCCAGAATAGCTACCCTGCATCTTAACAAGCCACCCATTATTTCAAAATATTTTTAAAAAATGGGCGCACTATTTCAGCATCTTGGTAACCCTCGTTCCATGCGAGTTAAGGGATGTCTCGAAATAGCACGTTATTTTGAAATTTGGCGCTGTGTAGATACACCAAACTTCAAAATAAGCTATTTTAAAATATATATTTTGTGTTTAGGGTGCTGTGAAGATGCATCTGTAGGGATTGCTATCTACCTCCTGCTGTGGCAGGGAACATTAATAGATGACAATATTATAAAAGTTGGCCAAATAAGCCAGGTGCTGGGGCTTGCTATACCTAGAGATGATGATGAAGAAAACTATAGCTGTGTCTGCACAGTGTCTGATGATCTAGTCAAAAGTGAGAAGCTGTGTTTGACTTACAGATGTCTGTAGGACCAGAATCTCCCTTCCCTGCTTCCCTTTTTCATTATTGAAATTAAGAATTTTAGAGATCAGTGCTACAATTCCTTCTTTGAGGGAATAAATAATCTTTGCCATAGTGTTCAGAGGAGAGAATGTCCTTACAGCAGTTTTTTTCACAAATTTAGGGGTAGTGACTGAATTAAGTTTCTCCATGGCTAGATCAAGTGGATTACTTAAGATATAACTTCAGTTTATTTTGGGTCTGAACTAGAAGAGACTTGTCTCCTCCATCTGAACGCTTTGTTACAAAAGTACCAGAAAACTTCTGTCCTATTGCCAGTCTGTTCAGTATAGGTGCAAGATTGAAATGATGGGAGTATTGCAGGTAGAGGTTGGACCTTTCTTGTCTCGCACCCTGGGGATCTAACCAGTCCCAAAGAAGGGAGTTTGATGGGTCAGGGAAGGTCAGCCCCTCTGCTGACTGACTCTGGGCTGTCCCAGTGTGTCAGCAGATTGCCATGCTTCCCTGACCTGAGATTCTGAGGCCTGCCCCGGGGCTCTCTAGTCCAGCAACATCTGTGGTCCTGCCAGATGATGGATTTTCTGGGCCAGAGATTCTTGGACCAGAGAAGTTCAACCTCTAATGTGTTTTGAAATAAATTGCAAGAATTATCTTACACAAGAAGCTTGCACGGAGCATGCCTGTATTTTGTCTGTTTCTTAATTATTCCTTTTTGTGAGTACTAAATTCTTTGAAGGAATTTAGAAAAAAGTGAAACAAATTTTCAAGGCTTCGCTTCCAGGAACATTTATGCCAATTCTCGCAAGTCAAGCAATTAAAATATTTTCAGGTTAGAGAAATATACTCTTTAATTATAAAGTTTGTGTAATGAGAAATTGTAAAATTGCAAATTCAAAACGTAAAATTTATATGCTCAGGGTTGGATTGTCCAGAGACCCCTGCTCTTCTTCTTTGCACACCACTCATTCTCAGACCTAGCTAGTCATTGAATATTGGACACTTACGCCAATGTTTGACAGAGGCTAGAAACTTGTAGAATAGAGTGGCTCATGACATTCATTGGCATATGCACAATGTGCCTAGCCATTTAATGATGTCACCAGCCAGAAGCTAGGTCATTGTTGAAAATAAGTCAGTGGGTATTCTAAGTGTCAGATGTCAACACTGTTCTCCAGATGTTATAGTGCCTGATTGATATAATCTTTGGGATGAAGACCCCTTGCTGAAATGAAGGCCAGGCAAGACTGAAGTGATGCTCTTGAGTAGTCTAAAATGTTTCTTTCTACTTGCCCTCACTATCTTAAAATACTACATGGCCTGTGGGTCCACCTGTATTCTTTATTCTTCTGAGTACCCAAATAGCAACAAAAATTGGCAAAACAAAACTGTGAGATGACAGGATGTGGCATAGTCTTTCCTATCAGACCACACTTGTCCATGTATAATGAGACATGATTAATGCACTGTATTGAGAATAAATCCACAAACTAATGAAACTAATTGGTATAAAACATATTGAATCATAAAAGTGCTGTTAGTATATTGCTCCAACTATTGCCCTGGCTAGCCATTACATATTGGATTGTGTGCAGTCTTGTTGTTTTATTTTGAGAACTTTCAAATAGACTGGACTCAGGATATCTCAGTAGCCATTTGTCCCTTCATGATAGCTGCAGTCCTAAGAAACAGAATTCTCAGTGGCTAGGTTGATCGTAAGAACTGAATATAGAATCTTCTGGGCAGCTAAGACACTGCTGCAGAACTCCCTGCCACAAGAATTAGGAACAACCAGAAGAGTGGCCATCTTCAGGAAAAAATGTGTGACAGCTCTTTGTTGCAGCTTTTCTACTAATAAATGGCTTATTTTACAAACAGGAAGAAAATTGTAAGGGGGGTTGAGAAAATTGTAGCTTTCTATAGGTAACCCATTTGGACTGATACAAAATTCTAAGATTCTTATGTGACAGTCATGAAATAAATTATAAAATGCAGCTGTGTAGGAAGGCTAGCATGCTGAAGTTGGCATTCTCCCTCCAGTCAAAATTATTAATCCATATTTGCTAAAGATTGACATTTGTGTCAATGCTACATGGAAGACTGTTTGGAAAGTTGAAAGATTGAAATCTGGAAGGAAGAACTTTGAATTAAACTTGATTGGTTATCTAGAACCCTCAAACCATGTAAGCTGTTCAGTAAGCTTCCACTAATTTATATCTCTTTGAATCTGGAACATTTGCAGAATTGTAGACCAGGAAATAGGATTCTAGGTGCTATTCTTAGGAATCATTTCAAACTATTTGGTAATTGTTTATGGTCTTACAACTCAAGGATTTGGGGGGGTACAAGTGGTGACAATATAAGCCTTCTGCACTCTGCAAAAATATTTTAGGCCTTGAACATTACCTACTGTTGCCTTTTTTGAAGGTATAGGAAAGTTACAATCAGCTAGGTCTTAGTACCTTACTAGCACTTCATTATACTGCTGACAAACTCTTAATCTAAAACTGAATCTATTCCAACAGTACCTACAAATGGACAATTGGGAGGTTCAAATCTGTCATTAATTATAAAACCACTAGGACACTGTGCTTCTTTGAAACTGCATCTTTATATACTTACAGTTTTTATTGCTTTGTGTTGCATGTGTCACACTCTCTTGTCTATATTACATTTTAAAAAAATGAAAAATACTTTCGAAGCTGACGAGTCAAGCACTCATAAATTAGAGAAATTCAGAATCCCGGCTGCCTATAGAAGATTAATTGGATGCTGTTGTGCATATGCCTTATAATTACAGGGTTGCATGCTATTTTTCCATAGCACACCTGCTTCATTCAATACTTTAATTTTTTTCAGTCTGTTGCCTCAAGCCTTATTTAATGCATGCCATCCAGCTTCTCACTGAATACCAAATCACTCATTTTCTCTTGAGTATTTCTTCAGTTCTTTCCTCGTAGTTTGAGTGTTTCACAAATTTTAATGAATTAATTTTCCCAGCACACCTGTATGAGTAGGCGATATTAATGTATGTATTTTATAGTTAGAAAAGTGAGACACAGAGATTAAGGATAAAATTTTGGGACCCCAACTTGAAACTCATAGA